CATAATGATTTTCCATTCTATATGCCAGACAACTTATCTAGCATCAATCTTTTCTTCTGGAAGAAAAGGATATTGAAATTCTTGTTCATCTAATTTGGTTGATGCATGACTGGTGCAAACACTTAAATAGACACCCGGCAAATATTTAATTTCCATGACCAAGCTTTTGCAAGAATTCCCCAGTAATAGTTGTAAATATTACTCTTTAGGTAAACCCAGCCATAAAACTTGCCTTTCGATCAGCTCTGGCATATCCAAAGTATGGGATCACAGCAGTGATGTTCTTGGCTGATGCTCTCCGACAAGCATCTATCATGATCAGAAGTTCCATGAGATTCTCATTTGCCTGAGGACAGGTGGGCTGCAGTAGAAAAACATCGCATCCTCTAACACTCTCTTGCAACTGAACGTATATTTCACCATCAGCAAATCGCTTTATGTCTATCTTTGCCAGTTCTAGGCCCATATACCAAGCAACTTCCTAGGGATGAAAGGCGACCGTTAACAGATAGCAGAATTCCAATCATATAGAAAACCACGTTAGTTCAGAAATGTAGTTTATGAGTTTGTCAGAATATTTAACTAGAACGATGCATGAAATACCACCAAAAACAATCCCAATTTGATGCTGGAGAATAAGCTTTTCATCAAAGGCAACGAGGAAAATGACAGCTTCACACATGAGGAACTGAATCAAATTAACATCTTACAAGATTTCAGCATGAAGAGCAACATCCATTTGAGTTTATAACATGATGAGATTTATGTACAAGCAAAGTCTTAATATTCCACCAGTTGAATTTATCACACGAGGAGCAAAATCATGATGATAGAGCAATATAAACATAACTCGTTTGTATACAGCTATCAAGAACTAAACCCTTACCTGAGAGAGAGCAGGATTTGCTGTGCCAGAAAACAATTTCAACCTCGTATCATTTCTGTTAACAGTTTTATCCACTCGGGCAGATTCCAAGAACTTGGGCAAGTTCTGGTCGTTAAGGACAGGAATAGTAGGCTTCCCGTTTCCAAAATTCAATGGTTCAGAAATATCGCATTTCTGGCACAATAAATAACTTGGAATCAGTAAGCAACAAACACAACTCCTTTTTCTTCTTCCACAAAGACACTATACGTGCACAGCTACCACCATAACACAGAATTTACTTCCCATCCCCTGGCCCTCCGTTTGCACTAAGAAAAAAAGCAAAAAGAAATGAATTTGAGTTTTATGTAGCTAAAAAATTATCCTTTATATATATATATATATATATATATATATAACCTTCGACACCAAAACAAAATAAAGTAAAATTCACGAATACAACCATAATCAAACATATTCATCAAAACCATCCTCAAATGCTTCGAAGAAATCAGGTTTGTTCTATTAAGAACCCAAATTCAATTATTAAATAAGGAAAAAGAAACAGGTGAAAAAATAAAAAAACGTGGAAACACAAATAAAATAGTATTAAAAACAACATATCATTATCAATTTCAATAGAATGTCTCTAACTATGTGCGCGTGTCTCTGTCTCATTAGTTTTACCAAGCACGCAAAAAACTTTGAGCCTACGGGGGAAAAAAGGCTTAAAAAAGGAAAACAAAAGATTTTTATTATTATTATTATTATTATTATTACTTGATTCTATTCTAGCTTACAATGGTGTTTGTAGAGGAAATTCGGGTGCGAGCGCCATTGAAACTCAAACTTGTCTGTCTAGAACAGAAACGAGACAAAGACGAAGAGGGCTTCAAAAACGACGCCGTTCGTGAAGGAGACGATTGCATGCCCAATGAAGACGCCATTTTTTTTCTTCTCGAAATTTAGGGTTGAGGATTGGCTTAACTTTTACTTATTACTAAATAATTTGAGTAGACAAGACTAATGCCAAACACACGATGAGGCAGAGAGAACGATGAAATAAATCCAAAGAGGAGGAGACGGTGGAGGTGTTTCTTTCTCACCCTTCACCCTCCGGTGTTCTCTTGACCTCCTTTAGTATTTGCTTTGTTTTTATAGTAGACCTCCTGCAAAGGACCTACTTCGAGGAGACTTGTTTCTGTTTTAAAAATATTTTTTTTTAAGGAAGATTTTAAAATAATTTTATTTAAAAAAATATTTTTTATATGATTATATTAGCTTAATTTAAAAATATTAATTTAAAAAAATACAAAAAAAAAAATCATCATTATAATTAATTAGTCCTTAATCTGTTATTAGTAGAGAGATGTGATTAAAATTAAATGATTCGGATTCGTTAGGTTGCCGGATGAGGATTGAGTGATTCGGGTTTTTGGGAGTCAAAAAGAAAGGGAAAAAGGGCTGATTGATGCTATTTCTAGTGTTATACTGCCGCCACGTGTGTGGGGACCAAATCCAAGTGGCAGCTCTAGGGATTCTCTAGTCTACCCTACTAACGTGTGTGATCGCTTGCTTTGGTCGGTTGGAATACGAGGCAGCGAGCGCTTTTGGGATTCTCCTCAATTTCTTTGACCTGTGGAAAATATTCGCAAATTCTTCCTTAGTGGGTTCGGTAATTGGATGCCCTCTGCATGCTCCACACGCCATTCAATCCCACGATATTTAAATATCAATTATTATATTTTAAATAAGATTAAATCTTTAAAAATTATACTAAAAAAAACACACGCGCGCACAAAGCGAAGTCAGGCCCGGGACTCATCTGGAGGCGCATGTTTTTCCAGCCGCGTGGCTCCTTACGATGATGATGATGATCTCCTGGGATGCATACATGGATTTTGGCCTGTGTTGTCGCATTAAAAACAAGGAAGCATGAAGACAGAAGGATTGCTTCAAGTGCCATGCTACTAGCAGTCTGCACTCTTCTGCTTGGAAGGGAGAGCAAAATCAACCGCGACAAAATAGACGTCCTGCTAGACCTTTCAAGGAAAAATCATGCAGGCTAATACCATACTTTTTGAGTCAAAAGCGTGCTTCATGTGCTTGGGGTAACTTGATGACTCAGATTCCTAGAGATTCCTGAGAGAGAGAGATGATGCTACCGGTTGTATACATTCGGAGCAGTCATCGGTTAAGCATGGCAGTAAATGGTCCATTCAGCTGATCAGTACTGTAAAATTTGGTCCTTGTTCTTGATCGTGGAGGCTTTTGCCAGAAGGTTCCTTGGTAGCTTTGCCAGCTTGCCTGCAAATGACAAAAGAGATGTAAGCTAGTGCATAAACCCAGACAACAAACATCAACAATTAAATAACGTGAGATTATCTTTGCTGACTCCCAAATTTCTATACGCAATTTGCAACTACAGCTATCATGTACTAAATTAGAGAAAGAGGGCTGCATGCATATGTCAATGGTTAATCTTTCTTTTTGCAAATTAAGTTACAGGTATTTATATCTTTAGCTCAAGTCTGCTTCAGTGTTTCCACTCTTTCCCATACAAGGCCACCAAAAACCAAGTCCGCCTCAATTTTTCCCCTCTTTCCCATACAAGGCCACCAAAAACGAGCAGCAAAATACAGATTGAGTTACAGTCTCTTAAAGTTCAGCCTAAACCTTTTCTCTGATTCCATGAAGCAGAATTCTGAAAGTGCTAAGCAGAGTCAAGTGCCAAGGACCCTTCTCATCCCCTCAACATTTTTCAGGTGCACACAAGCAATCCTATACTTTTTCCTTTGCACCCATTTCCTCTCAGCGCATAGAGCCTAAAAAGATGCAGTATTTGGCTTGTCTAGAAAAGCTTGTTCCACCAATGCTCACATATAATTCCTAACAAAAACACACTAATGATCAGAGATTAAAATCCCATTACATCTTTTTCTTCATAATCACATAGCTTAATACAAATCCACTATACTATCAGTTTTTTTACTAAATAGTCCTATATGAGCATAACCAAAAACTGACTGTTTAATACAAAACTGAACAAACCCGCTTGGCCAACTTTCATCACATCATTTTATTTCCACATCCTGTCTCAAAATCAAACCCCGTGACTTCTAACACACTAACACGGAGAAGATGAAGAGTGCAAAAGATGCAAGAAGAAGATAATTAAAAAAAGAATACAATAAGCATGAAGAATCTTAATGAGCATGGTAGGAAGGGAGGTACATGGGAAGGAAAGGTTGTTGAATGAGGTGAAGGAGATTGGAGGTGGATTTTACAGCATGTTAAATTTGATCAGCCACTATTGATTTTGCTGTGCCTTCTCTTGCACTTGCACTTGCACTTCCAGCTGATGATGTTGATCTTGACATTGCTCACTCCATTTGCTTTGCTTGTACTCCAGGAACAGACATCACATGAGATTTCTCTGATCACTGATCATCGATTCAACTAATGCCAAAAGACATAGCATTCATTCTTTATTTCTTGATTTATTGTCTTCTTTTTTTATATATAGTACAAAGTTTTGGGCTTTTTACTAAACCATCCTCTGCTTACCTGCAGTCTCCTTCCGAGGTTAGGTAAGCTCTCGAATCCCCAGCATTGTAGACCAGACCAGACAAGACCAGGTCTAGGATAAGAGCAGAAATGTCATGATTCATGCACCACTGTAGCCCTTTTATTACAATTCTAATATTCTCTAATATTTCCATTCATTTATGAAATGATAACATATTCCAAAACAAAATGCAAGCGGATGGCCAAGAGGTTTTGGGTTTCTAGATTGTTTAATTTTCACAACCAAGTGGATTGACTGGCAATAAATTATGATCTAGACAGCAGTAACTTTCTCTAACGAGTGTTGAGCACTATAATCTTAATCGAACTGTCAATGTTCAAGCAATATAGCATGGATATTGATTGAGCTGCCAAAAAACTCAACGAGGATTGGGCTTTTCATGATGGCTTGATGAACAAAAAAGATTGGATTGGCTACAAATATCAGGCATCGATGACATTGTTCTACACTGGCCATATATTACGTACCTCAACCCCGTTCCAGGCACCTCAAATGAAGCGCAAAACCTGTTAGGTAATGCATGACTCCCTACGGAGGAGTTAAAACGGTGGTTCAAGTTCCATCATATGATTCCTCTTAGTTGAAGGAGACAGAGATTGAATAATTTGTTCATTAGAAATGCCTACAGCTAATGAATACATCACATGCAACATAGCTATGCATATCTTCATTCTGAAGCTATTAAAATCTACCGAAGATTTTATGGTAGAAAAGGCCTTCCAAGTCCAAAATCATCATCTTGATCCCTGCAATATCAGCACACATGTCTTGCTATAGTTCAAGAACCATACAGCACATAAAGTGGATTTATATTGGTCTCCGCCAACTGATTGGCTTGCTCATTCAACGTCAGGGCATCTCCTGTGGAGTGAGTGGCTTATTAATGGTATTCACAAATCCCTGAAGACACAGAAAGATTGTTTTGTAGGACACCTTCATGCTGCCAACTGACCGATTAGGTGAAAGTCATGCCCGGTAATGTTATCCTATTCCCTCCAAATCCAGTTGTTGTGGGTAACCGTGCTTCAACAAGAGCTAGTCCAGCACCTTATATCAACGCCCAAACCAGCAATTCATTTTCACCAAAGCATAAAAACCTCGAAAAGAAAACCAGGGAACCTTGATGATCAATATTTAGCTGAATGACTTCCAAAATGCAAGGGGAGTCATAAAATGCATGCGTGCACATAATCCAAATAAGTCTCACCATTTTACTTGGTAAAGCTCAGTAAAAATGGATACATGCTGATTTTCGAAGAGCAATAATACCGTGCACACTGAAAGAACCTGCCAATCTAAGTACACTGGAGCAACTGGATCCACATATTCTATGGTGATCTCATGCAAATTCTCTTAACAACCAAGAACATGAAACCTTTTCTGGCCATCACAACGTAAGAAACAGAGCTTGGAATTGATTTTGTGGCAAATGAATTTGAAATATTAACGCATCAGCTTGTAAAAAACATCTGGTTTTAATGGAAGGTAGGTAGTCCATTACCAGGCTCTTTAGAACACTTGTGCTCAGAAATCAAGCAAGGATTCAAAATCAGTGGGTATGGAGCCAAATACTATAGTCTCAACAATTCAGAAAGATCTATAGGGTAACTGAGGCAACTGGGCTTCAAGATGAATTTCACTGAACAAGACTAAAATTAGTTATCTTAATCGTGACAGACCATGAAAAGAGAGAGAGCTATAGTAATGACCTTTTCTTCCCAGATGCAAACACTTGTTACTTTACTTATCAACAAATAAATTTAGGGCAAATAATCTCAAAATCACATGGTATTTAGGAGTTGTTGTCAAGCGATAATCAAGCCACCTTTACATCCTCTAGGTTAATAGCTAATCGGTTTTTTGCACATACTCCAAACTTACAATACACAAACCTGATATCATTCAAATAGTAGCAAACCATTTATTGATATAAGCCATTGGAGAAAAAGAAAAGCAAAAACAAGGAAACGAGGTGCTAAGACATACAAGACATCCCTGATATCTTCTGAAGAAAGTACAAATTTCTAATACATCATTCACTTTCCAGCAAAACCTGTAAGCATTGCTAAAGTGGTGAGAACTGAATCAAATATTTCATAATTTGATTGGCAAATATCATCCAATAAGCTCCATTATTCACATGTAACTATCATACAGCTAAACACAGATTGGAATAAATTGTTCGCACACACTGCTACCTTTTCTTTCCTAGAAATGAAGTTTTTTAGCCTACACTTTAGCAGATAAATAAACATCTGGCCATTTTAGGTGTCATATAATGGGTTATTCTATATACTGAAAAACAAACTGAAAATTCCATCAAAAACAAGTTAAAAATATGTTAACTCTATTGGAAGTACCAAACGCAGATCTAAAATTTTAACACTAGAAAGGACGAAAATAGCTCAAAGAGCTACCAAAATAAAGCAATCATAAATGCAGAAGTTTCTTTGAATTTCTTGATCAATTGAACCATTTTGTGTTCGAAGAAATACAAATATTTATCATCAATCCCTACTTTTTAATATAACGGGTTGGCAATGATTTGAAACCAAAACCCTAAGCTACTATAATAAAGCCCGCTATACCACCCATTTTAAATCCTCACCGCAAGCTGGTCGTGGCATAGTTTACATAAAACTGAAAGCTCAATTAATATATACATTCAAGTCCAAACTAGAGGCCATATATTGTGGGCATTTCAAACCTGGTTAAGAGGAAGCAGCTTTAATAGCCTTTTGCAACTCACTTTCCAAGTCAGACACCTTCTTTGCAGGCTTCTTCAATTCTTCTCTTTGCCCATTTCCTTCTCCATCATTTTTGTTGCTCCTCCACTGCTCAAACCCACTAAGATTACCACTTGAAGCTGGCTCCACTCTCTTAACAAGACCATTGATCTCTTTGCGCGAATTCCTCGCCAAAACTCCCAGTCTCATATTCTCTAAATAGTGCTTCATCGCCCTATTGTCAGCCTCTAACACCTCCAAATCCCTTTTCATCCAAAAGCACATTCCTTTCAACAACTCTAAATCTCCCGAATTACTCTCATTGCTTTTTTCCTTCTTTACTTCCTTTAACTCCTCAACCCTCTCAATCCCAATCTTATTCACTATCAAGTAGGGCATTTTTATTCCCAACTCACCAGGAAAATTCACAGCCCACCTCAAATTCATCGATACCCTTTCAGTTAAAGGCAACGCTGTTTTTGCCTTTACGCCAAATCCACTAAAAAGCCCTCTCTTCTTTCCATATTCCCACACCAATTGCCTCTCCGGAGAAAACCCAATTCCATAAGCATCATCAATGTAATTATGATTCACAAACCCCTCTTTCCC